AATTTAATCATTAATTTGTAGCTTTCAAACAAGAGCCCCCTTTTACAGGACTGTGATCTATAGACAACAAATTTAATCTAAGAACATTTGGTCAAGTGTGTTTGTGTTGGCTTTCATAATGCACTATATGTTGTTTTAATGACATCATACCAAGTTTGTCATTTTTTACATATTGCCCTTGGGTCAGTATATTGCTGGTGTTCAAAAGTTTGTTCAGACTCCCAACGAATAAAAAAAGATTAAAAAAAAGCTTTACAACACATATAGTTTGACACTTTGAAAACACATTTGATTATTTCTTTTTAGCTGAATGTAGTTTTAGAATCTTGTTATTTAAAAATCTGGCTCACTGTCACAGCGGCATGTCTCCCTGGGACACCTGAATAAAAACATTTTTAGTGTTATTAGCAACACCTGTGCATTTCCTTCAATGACAAGTTGAAACGTCAGCTTTGAAAAGGCCTATAACTAAACCTTGGACTATCATTTCCCCCCCTTTTTTGTCGGGCAAAAAAGCTGTGCAGACCTGTTTTCAGTTTGACAGTTTCTCTCTTTGACCCGTATCAGCAACAGATATGTGTTATTGTCAACAAACAAAAGGTGAACAACCATCTTGAATGTTTGCAACAACAGCATGTGGGAGGGATTACAGTTCATAATTTTGTACCAAAAGAGATGTGAATTGCTGCCATAAAAATATTCATAGGTGAGTAAAAAACACACTTAATCATAATAAAATAATCTGAATGTGTCTAAAATACATGAATTCATATAATCTATGATTTAAAAAAAAAAGCTTTTAAGAAATCCACATTGTTTAGTAGCGTTACACAGACTAGTCGTTTTAGTTGACTGGAGTATTTAACTAGCATTAGATAAGGCATAGTGAAGCCATTGCGGTTAAGATCCAATGTAACTGTCGCTTAATAAAACAAAAATTGTCGTATTTCATAAATATTGTCACCAAATAGTCATTTCTCCAGCCCCTGTCTGTCTTGGTTGGTTCTCAGGGTTACTTTTAGATGCATGTGGTTTCTTGCAGCAAAGAAACAAATGTTTATACATGACAGTAATATAAAAACACTCTACTGTACAGTTAGAAGAGGCACGAGCCTTGGTGACGTCACTTCTAAATCACTTACCTGACTGCTAGAGAGCCTGTAGGATTCCTGCGCTGGTCTGTGCATGCTTGTTGCAGTCAGACCAGATTCCTTTACTGCAGCCGGCTCTGGGTGACGAGGCTAGCTTCACCTAGCTGTGCTTGCTACTGTAGAGGAACAGGAGCACAACAGAGGCAAACAGCTGTGACTTACCTGCAAGTGTGCTGATGCACTGTACAGTAAATCTGAGTAGTTGTCACTTTAATGCAGGGCACAGTCTGTAGAGTGGAACTGATTATAAGTTAGGGCAAAGTATCGCCACATTGAAGTTTTATTTTTACTGCATTTTGTTCATTCCCCCTATTTATGACCAGATGGGGGCCACAGTGCAGACCCCAGGGACAAACTTGAGTTCTGAGGCCAATGCCTTTGTCAAGGACAAAGGTAGGAGAATTTTGAAGCACTGCTGTATTGTTTGCCCTGCATTAGATGTACAGTAAATGCTCTTTAATCACTAATAGCACTATTTTATGTGACCAAAACACTTGATCACTTTAATGCTTAGATTCACATAAGAGCCTCAATCTCAACCAAAATATTCCTACACACTCAACCAACTTGCCATATTCTTATAAAAAGTGATGAGGCATTATGTAAGAGGAACATTTCTACTTAAAATTTAAATTAGAGTTCCGGTGTAGCATTGTACATTGCCATCAACTGAATGGGACTCTTTCCTCCCTTTCCAAGCGTGTAGAGAACCTATAGTGGTCTCCAGGTAATGTCAAGGGGCCAGAGTTGATCTGGGCTATACTGTATACTGTAGAAACATGGCATTGCAATATAGTGGACTTTGTAAAAGATGGACAACTTCCTATGTAGATATGAAAGAATTACTCTAAGCTAATAAAAACAGGATTCTTAGTTTAAGGAGATTATTTCATAATAAAAACCAAGTTATAGTATATTCCATTTCTAATAATAGTTATTTTGTCATTCCTACACACTGGACAAGAAATAAACAGGCTAGTTCATAAGTTTTCATAATGTGGTTCATTTGTGTTTATGTTGTCACAGAAGAAACAAATATTATGACCTTACCACACCCTGTACACACCTGTGTGGAGTTGGAAAGCCATGCTATACTAGAGGGTGTTACCAGCTAGATGACGTTATATGAGAGGTTTGGCATCAGGTACATGTTTCTCTGCATTTGGAGGGACCACAGAGGCTCAACTGGGTGGGACACAGACAGCATTTCCCACCTTCATCACCTTTAAATTATGGTGTAAAATAACACATTTGCATGGAGAACATGAATTATTTTTTTAGAGCTATAAGTGATACATTTACATTATTTATATCTGATAAACTGCATCTTTTAAAATCAATAAGACACATATTTTCCTCTAACCTGCGCTATTTATTGATCTAGAGAGCTTATTATAGAGTTATAGTCATAATGTATGCCTAACTAACAGACATAAGGCAACATTTATTGAATTTATTTGTTATCTTAGTACAAACATCTGCATAACATGTTTCCATATTAAATGGTCCTAGTGAAATGTGATGTCTTTGTGTCTCAATCTTGCAGTTGTCACCAGTGGGAATGAATGAATACAGACCCTGGGAACAAAATGTTTCCTCCCCCCTCTTCCACCGCCCCCTCTGCTTTCCCGGTGTAATCCTGTAAGGAAATCATGAAAAGCGGGAGACAGAGAGAGACGCGCCTTTCTTTACATCGAAACTTAACTCCATTCCCTGCACTATAACACCTTTACAAGGAGATTCCCTCCAAATAATGGGTTGTGTAGGGACACCATTGCTGCAGGCGGCATCCCTGTAATTGCTGAGCACTTCCTGGTGCAGGAGTCAGTTGAGATGACATGGGAATGGGCGAGTCTCCAAAGACAAACGCTTTATGGTGTAACCGCCCTGAGACAGAGCACATCTACTTCTGGTCTAATGATAGATATTAATTTCATTAGTTTCATTTTTTATAAAACAGTTCATATTTTATAAAACACATTACTATTTGTGAAAATGCTCAAAAAGGGTCTTGTCATTGTCTCTGGTAATGTGGTCTATTTTATGTTTGTGGCTTGGTTGGCCTGGCCTGTCAGCATGATGAGTAGTAGATGTCGTGGATGAATAGATAATGGGAAGAGCACCAACAGCAGAAACTCAAAAAAAACTAAAGTAAAGTTACCCATCCCAAGCATCCCAATGTGGCCCACACTGTCAAAAACACAATCCAAGATCAAATGAAAATAATTATTAGTTAACATTTAGATCCTGAAAATATTATTCACACACTACACACACATGTATGCAGCCTCTTGGCAGATGGTGAACCATGAGGTTGCCAGGGCTGTAAAACAAGCCTGTTCTCTTTGTCCACCTACGCAGCACTGTGCACAGTGTGTCTATCAGATGGCGGCGCTTTATCAAGGTGTGGCTGACACTGGCTCCACACAAAGCTCTGTTAAACAGGAACATTGGAGGCCCGCTTCTAATAACTGGGGTGATGCGGCTGGGCACGCATCACTGCCAAGCAGCTCTCTGTAATGGCTGCCATTTCCAAAAAACTAAACTGACATGACTTTCTGTAATGTCTTGTAAATGTAGTCATGCGTGAAATGTGTTTCAACACATTATTCTGGTATGTGTGACAACTACTTTGTACTCAGTTGTTGTTGCCTTTAGTTTGTTAAAGTTAGAATGCGTCATTTATCAACTTGTTCAGCTGCCAACAACTGTTTTATATATCCACGAACCATTTTACGTTTGACTAACCTGCTCTAAATAAGATATAGGCATGAATTGCTGCTTAAACTACAGGTGTTATGTGTATGTGTCACCCTTGGTTTCCCTGCTGTATGTGTGATTATATGGTTGCATGGATGCTGGGTCTAAGAGGCACCCGCCCCTGTCAATTATCAGATTGTTGAGAGGAAGAGAGGAGATTATGCATAATTCCCAACCGTGGTTTGGTCTGGGTGTTTCCTCTAGAATGTGAGGAGACATACTATGTTGCTCAACTGCATACCTGTCACTGGATTTGGCTCTAGACAACATGATTTATGTAAATGTCTACCATATAAAAATAATGATTTAAACAATGATTTTGCTGGATGTGGAAATGTTTCCAATTAATCTCCATTAGCTGTGTCCTAAAGCAAAGGTAGTCTTTCTGATTTACACCAGTGCCTTTTTCAACATCATACAAATCTCCATTTGCATAGCATCTTATGTTCCAAGATGTTCCGTTATTTAATTAAGAGATTGATTCCTAAGTTAATATAGTCAGAAACAATGGTTAATAATTCCATATTTTGCGCTCTATGATACTGTGTGTTCTTAGCGAATAAGTGTTTGCCTTGGGGCGTCAAAGTCTTGTCTGTCTGACGTCATTGTGTTGATGGTGCTAAATTGTGTTTTAATCGACTGAAATTATGGTATTTGGGCTTGTAAAACATTCCATATAGAAAGAAATACGCAGTAGGCCTATTCATCCCATCTTCAACTTTTGAGCTTGACATTTTGCACTTATTATATATTAAATTAGCGTTTCCCCTACTACATTACTAAATCTGCTTATACTGTTGGGAACACAACTAACTAAATTAAAAGCTACATTTTTCTGCCCTAGAAATGTATGTCACTTTGCAAAACACATGTCCCTGAGCCTTTAGAAAATATTATTTTACCTTTAGTGTCAGGATATAATACCATGGAAATCCATTTTGATTGACAGTCTGTTCTCATGTTACCTTAGGATTCAAAAAACAAAGGCAGGCAGTTAATATTGAATGAAGCTTAACTAAGGAGTGGGGTAGGTGTGGGATACATAATCTTGAGAAGTTTGTCTTGAGCTGCTGTTGTTGGATCTACAAGTGGCAACTGTTGCTAAGGGTCCCATTACCAGAGTAACCGGTGATTGTTTACTTTAGTCTAGCCAGAATTCCCTACTTGCAGTGCGGCAGACTGCGACTCATTTCTGTGGGCTAAACTGCTGACAGACTATGTGATTTCACCTCTGTCGTGTCTGTGCTTCAGTCTGTGGGTTTCTGTTTGCCTTGCCTTTGGAGTACAAGCTTGAGCGCACATGGCAGGAGAGGAACAGGCTGAGTGGGTTTTCATGGAGTCTGGCTGTCCCTGTGTGTGAGACACTGGAGCTACAGGTAAAACCCCCTCTAATTCTAAATGTTATATGTCATGGTTCAGCTCCTGTCCTCTAACACAAAACACCACATTTAATGAAATACTTATTCTATTTCTTCACACTCGTTTGTTTGTATTTATCACGTTTCAGGTTTGCGAAATATGATGATACATTTGAACTATACAAATCTAAACCTGCTTACAGGTGTGAGCAACCCCATGGAGATTAAATGTTAATTAAACCAAAGAAAATGTATACATTTTTGTGGTGAGCCCTTAAATATACAGTTTGTTGTGATGGAAAGGTATAACAAGACGGTGCAAATTTCTTAGCAATGTGCCTCTTAGATTGTGAGATTTTTTAATTTTTGTCTGATATTCAAATATCAAAGGGCTAAAGTAGGGTTTGAACTCCTGGTGGAGGACATAAAGTCAATGGGTCAACAAAATAATTAGGAATAATCCTCTGAATACCATAAATACCATACGCATCACATCATACATACTGTACATCATCATATCTGCTTCATATGGCAGTCTGGCCAGTAGCCAAAGTATGTTTCTTATGAGCCAAACAGTTGTATGGGCTGACAGCTTTACTGCTATGCTATGCTATTCTATCCTATGTTATACTTGTTTAATATGTAATGAATAAAAGCTGCTCACAATTCATAATAATTAAGTGTCTTTAGAAAAGCTATTCAGTCTGAACCAAAATGGTGGACAGACCAACCAACAGACAAATATCACCATCCAAAGGGAAATGATATAAGCATGAAAATAATATCATGTGACCGTGCCAAACATGTACAGCACTTGCTGTTGATGAAGTAAACGTTATCTATTCATCTTGACCCTTACACTAAATCGTTAGTGTATTGAACAAAACCTATAATAACAAATATTTCATTTGGGGTCTGATACAGTATCACTTCACCCCAAAGAAAGGGTCTCTAATGTTGCAAAATGTTCAGCCATCACCAGAGATCTGCACGAGCAGAGGTCATGTCTGAGTGCTGGGTGAAGTCCTGCAGTGAAGGCCCGGCAGAGGAGAGAGAACGGCAGAAGCCACAAGGGGAAAACGGAGAGAAGGAGGAAGTGAAGGCTCCCTGTGGGGACAACGTGCCAGCAGGAAGCCTGAGGCAGGAGGAGCCAAGGGGAGAACCGGCCTCGTCACCTGACCATAGGGACATGCAGGAAGTAGCATCAGGAAGTGGACTGGAACATGTCCAAAGGGAGGAGACGCAGACTCAAGAAAAGAGAAAGAAGTTTTCCCACATTACTTTCAACAAGGAAAATCCATATAGTGGGCCAGGTGTGTGGTGGGAAAGTGTGGCTTCACTGAGGGATGTCCTTTGCTATTCTTTCCATAGTTTAATTCAGCATGAAGAAGATAGTTCATCAACACATTTACCAGTTTTTAAAAAGCCTGTGTGTTTGTGTTAGACTGTGTCCATGCCTGATTTCTTTGTGTTTGTGTGTGCAAAAGCATCAGGTGTGGACCTGGTGCGGCACCGCCGGAGGTCCCTCCCCAGGGAGATGTCGACCTGCTCCTACCCAGACAGGGACAGGCAGCGGAAGGTAGAGGAGCCCCGGGGGCCTGGGCCCTTCTACTTCGTCGGAGGAGCCAACGGAGCTGAAATGTAAGTAGAGGAATATAAAATAAAGGGGTACCAAGAAGAATCTATGGATGGATTTGCTTTAAACATGTTTCACTTGTTATCTTATTAGTCTAACCCTAGATTTACATATGACCCCTGACCTCTGTACTGTTCTGTGATTGATGTGCTTTGGGACTTCTCTTTTAGAGTGAGCCGTTACTGTGAGAGCAGAGGATGGAAGAGGATTTACAACAAGCAGAGGGAGGATTTCAAACTCAAGTGGTGTGAGACTAAATCACAAGCAAACTACAGTAACTTCAGAGAAGGTGCCCAACTATACATATCTCAGAACATTTTCTGAATGCTGTATTTTACTAGAGACTTTCCCAAAGTAAATCCTATGAAAATGCCATGAAATAGGAAAGGAAAAATGCTAAATCTGTCTTTTTGTTGTTTCATCTTTCTCAATTCTATGGAAGCACCTAGAAGCAATGGGGGAAAAAACAGTTTTATCCTTTTTTTAAATGTAGGATTAATTTTTTCTAACGAATGAAAAAAGTAAGCCAAGCTAAGTAAGAAAAAAGGATTTTGCAAAGAAATGTTTTTCTGATCTAATCCAATTTAATTTAAATGTGTTGTAACACTAATTTCTGCCACTGAAGCCTGCAGTGCACCACTACCCCATGTTTTAAATAAAAACATTTTAGATATTATCATAGTAATAAAATGAATTATTGGTGCGTGCCCAGTTAAGTTTTTAGTCCTGTTTAGTGGTGCTCTTACAGCTAAAATGTGTATTACAACCACGCACAACTATTATACTGAAATAATTTACCTTTGAAACTGTTCCACTATTCCAAAATAATGAAAAACAGCAGAGAAAACACTTTAGATCACACCTAGAAAATTAATCACCATATTTGTTCCCCCTTTTTTTTCAGTTCAGGGTTTCCGTACATTTGCTTTAAGTAGAAAATACATGCATTGTTGTCCATTCACAGAAATACAAACATGAATTCCTCATGTGTGGTTCCCAGGTGAACAGTTGGTGTACCAGATCCCCAACAACAAGGTGCTCACCACTAAGATCGGCCTCCTCAGCAGCCTGCGGGAGTATGAGCGGGTCAGCAGCAAAGTCAAACACAGAGCAGGACTCAGGTTGTGTGTTTATAAAAGTAGACATATATAACAGCATTTATGGTTGTGTCACAAAGCTCTTAGCAACAATCTGGTGCCATCAGAGAGGTTCAATAGAGGCCCGGCTCGGCAAATACTGATTGAAAGACATATCAGCCTCAGACAATATTTAATAAACACCAGAAACCAGGCCTCTGAATCACACAAGCTTGGTATTTAGCATTGTTTTTGTCAGTTATATAAACTATTTCAGTGGTTAATTATTGATAGTATCGAAAATTGTTAAAATGTTTTGCAACCTTTTTGAATAGAAATAAGCATTTCTTATAATATCTCCTAGTATTGTTGGAAGATGTACTCGGATCCTTTACTAAAAAAAAGTGCTAATACTATGGTCTAAAAATACTTCACTACAAATAAAAGTCCTGATTTTAAAATTACAAAATTAATTGTATAAAAATGAACTTAAAGTACAAAAAGTAAAAGTATTCATTCTGCACACTTGTAAACTTGCAATGAACATCATGTCTAGATTTTAAAGTCAATCTGCATCAACAGTACAGATGTCACACGTGTACAGATTTATGTTTACTGACATAGAGTGAAATGTGTGCACTGCTTATCTTAAGTAACTTTCTCAGGCAGTTTTCATTTTCATCATATGACACAATCAGTTTCAAACAGCTAAAGGCACACATCCATTCATTGATCTTCTTCTTCTTCTTCTTCTTCTTCTTCTTCTTCTTCTTCTTCTTCTTCTTCTTCTTCTTCTTCTTCTTGTGTCGTACTTCACAGGAGTCTAAAAATGGAAGAGTTTATTCCCACTACCTTCCGCATGGATGTGAGGGAGGAGAGGGAGGCTTTCTTTGCCCAGCAGGAGGGTAAAAGACATCTACACTGGCCTCTAGTACAGCTCTACACCCGGATGCAGTGACAACACAACACCGGCTCCACTGGATTTGTGTTTATTCAGCTTACAAATATGAGCAATCAAAGTGTGCCCGTCATGCATCCCTTAACAAAAAGAAAGAGAATAGTTTGTGCTTGGCAGTGTTAAGACAACAGTTGCCTTGGTGATTGTTTAATCAAGAGGTCGGGGATGTCGGAAAATAATGCACTTCACCTCCCATAAGGCCCTGATTAAATCACCAGGGGAACATGCTGTTGCCATAGAGATGAGTCAGCAGAGGGCAGGGCTGAGACACAAACAGGAACAAACGCTCGACAGGAGGACAATGTAAAGCTGCTGAGATCAAAAAGATGCATTTAGTATTGCTGTAAAACATTTCCCCTTCATTTCTAGTTCTGGATATGAAACCATCTGATGGTTCCTCTATTGTCTGCAGTAACACAGACACACAGCATTATGATAAGAGGTGTGCAGGTTATGACAAACATGGTTATCACTGAGTAAACAGGAGAAAGACCCAGACAGCTGGTTTAGATCTCTGGGTGACGGATGAAACTGTGGAAATGAAGACAAGAGCAGTTATATGAGAATAAAAAACGCTATGAAAGGAAACTCCATCATCAAAAAGTGTTGCACATGGTAGTGTATGTAGAAGTCCTCATTCTACAGTATAGAATAGCCCCTGATATACATTATGTTTGATTAGCGTTATCACTGACACATCCACATGGTGAGGTTCAACTCATTTCATTTGACTCATTAATATGCTGTGGAATAGTTTGATTGATAACAATACAGTATAATTATCTTATGGGCTGATCACATGCTTTGAATGTCCATAGTCAAAGTAACATAAAGACCGGTGAAGGCATAACAAAACGTAATGTAATATCTGATGACTGGACACGGTGATTCACCTTTTTACGTTTTTAATTATGTCATTATGTTATCGCTTTGCATTTTACAATAAACATCTTGAACGCAATTATTTTATAAATGTTCATTCATGATGTAATACATTTTCATTTATTTTGTCGTACATTTTTATTGCATATAAATGTGGGAGTTACAATAAAAAAGGAAAATATAATAATACATGCAGTATGTAATATCAACTCAAATGGGTTGTCTTCATCTGCACACAGGTTTAAGAATACAGTGACGCTTGAGTTTGTGCCAAGTTAGGTTTGTCTCAATACAAAACAATATACTTATCTACCAAAGTCATTTAATCTTTTAAAATGTATTTGCGTCAATGTTTTCTAATGCGTGAAATATTTGTTTTTTTATCATTAAAGACCCAGTTTGCTATTTCATGAATATTATGTTTCATGAAAGAAAAGGATAATATATGGCTTTTTGCAAAAACAACTGCAGTATGTTCTCATTTATTACAAAATGTGGGAAATGTATTTAGATTGCGGCTGTTTATAATATAATGCAGCAGATCATTACAAATCACAGTTACATAATGTGTTGTAAAAGAGTGTTCTTTCAACCTACATGATGTGATTTTCTGACTGCTACCAGGTGTGAGCAACAACGAGGGTCCCATGTGGATCTGCAAGCCCTCGGGCCTGAACCAGGGGAAAGGCATCTTCCTGCTGAAGAGCCAGGAGGACGTCGCGTCCTTCAGACTGAAGCTGCAGCACACGGAGGACACCCAGGCCGACAGGAAGCTGCTCCAGCGCCTGCCTCAGGCTCGCATTGTCCAACAGTGGGTGGACATACTGCCACTAAAATAAATATGATGACACATTTAATGTCTCCAATAAGACATAACATCTCTTCTAATTGACTAAACTAATTTCCCTTTCATATAGAATCACTGATGGTGCTGTTTCTTTAAGCTCAACTGTATTTTGCCCTCAGTTACATCCAGAGGCCGCTGCTCCTGAAAGGGAAAAAGTTTGATGTGCGCTCATACCTTCTGATCGCCTGCACCGCACCCTACATGGTCTTCTTTCGTCATGGATACGTGCGACTGACCTGTGACCTCTACGACCCGAGTTCCAACAACCTCTCTGCCCACCTGACCAATCAGGTACACCTCAATACTGAGACAAAGTGCCAAAAATATCCAGGGTTAACTGGCAGGTCAAAGGTTAAAGTGTGCCTTCAAACAGTCATGTACCCATAGTATAGGGTTTGCTTGATGTAATCACATCCCCCGTTTATACTTGTCTTGAAAAGGTCACTTTTCAATGCTCTATGTGACTTCCATATAGACTTCAACATGTATCTGATTCAGCAGTCTGATTTAGGACCCTGCTCTTCAGAACATGGTCAACAATTATCTTTCTCGCAAACTGATGGTCCAATCTCATTATATTTTAAGCAGATAACTGTTAACATAAAGTTGCCTCAAGTTGTAATGATTATATACCACTATGCCAATATTGGATAAAGACAATAACTGGGCTTAAATAACTTATTTTTAGCACCCATGTGCTGTTAAAGCTTTTTAAGGACTAATGTTGCCTTGAGGACATTTACATTAAAAGGACATAACCGTTTAAGATAACACTTGAGAGACATTTGCATTCAGTCTTTGCTGTTCATGCCACACATATTTTCAGAGAGGTTGGGCATTAGCATTAGCTGTGGCTAACTGCTGCTTGGTGTGTCTCTGGTCCCCCTGCTGTCTGTCTCCAGTACATGCAGAAGAAGAACCCTTTGTACAGCCAGCTGAAGGAGGACACTGTTTGGACCATGGAGCGCTTCAACACCTACGTCAATGGCAGGTTTCGGGTTGCCAAGGGTCTGCCCGGGGACTGGGTGATGGGCGCCTTTGCAGTAAGTGTGTGTGTGTGTGTGTGTGTGTGTGTGTGTGTGTGTGTGTGTGTGTGTGTGTGTGTGTGTGTGTGTGTGTGTGTGTTGTAGCTCTAAGGGACCAATTACTATTTTAATGGTGGTTGTTGGTGCTTGCAACTAATTGGGATTGCGTTTGGGCTTGTATGATCTCACTCCTGTCCGAGGATACATCATGTATACAATGGAACTACATTTTTGTCCACAGTATAACAAGTGGTACAATATGTATCCCCAAACTGCACCTGCAACTGAAATAGTATATAGGCTACATACACATAGTTTATATGTGGGAAAAAATTATTTAGTCAGTCACCAATGTTGCAAGTTATCCCACCTAAAAAGATGAGAGAGGCCTGTAATTTTCATCCTAGGTATACTGTACCTCAACTATGAGAGACAAAATGAGAAGAAAAAAATCCAGAACTTACATTTGCCTGATTTTTAAAGAATTTATTTGCAAATTATGGTGGAAAATAACTATTTGGTCACCTACAAACAAACAAGATTTATGGCTCTCACATATCTGTAACTTCTTCTTTAAGAGCCTCCTCTGTCCTCCACTTGTTAACTGTATTAATGGCACCTGTTTGAACTCGTTATCAGTATAAAAGACAAATTAAACCAAAACAGAACTTTTTGGTAAAAACTCAGATAGACGTGTTTGGAGGAGAAAGAATGCTGAGTTGCATCCAAAGAACACCATACCTACTGTGAAACATGGGGGGTGGAAACATCATGCTTTGGGGCTGTTTTTCTGCAAAGGGACCAGGACGACTGATCCGTGTAAAGGAAAGAATGAATGGGGCCATGTATCGTGAGATTTTGAGTGACAACCTCCTTCCATCAGCAAGGGCATTGAAAATGAAACGTGGCTGGGTCTTTCAGCATGACAATGATCCCAAACACACCGCCCGGGCAACGAAGGAGTGGCTTCTTAAGAAGCATTTCAAGGTCCTGGAGTGGCCTAGCCAGTCTCCAGATCTCAACCCCATAGAAAATCTTTGGAGGGAGTTGAAAGTCCGTGTTGCCCAGCGACAGCCCCCAAAACATCACTGCTCTAGAGGAGATCTGCATGGAGGAATGGGCCAAAATACCAGCAACAGTGTGTGAAAACCTGTAAGACTTACAGAAAACGTTTGACCTCTGTCATTGCCAACAAAGGGTATATAACAAAGTATTGAGATGAACTTTTGCTATTGACCAAATACCTATTTTCCACCATAATTTGCAAATAAAGTCTTTCAAAATCAGACAATTTGATTTTCTGGATTTTTTTTTCTCATTTTGTCTCTCATAGTTGAGGTATACCTAGGATGAAAATGACAGGCCTCTCTCATATTTTTAAGTGGGAGAACTTGCACAATTGGTGGCTGACTAAATACTTTTTTGCCCCACTGTATNGTGGGAGCAATTATTAGAAAATGGAAGACATACAAGACCACTGATAATCTCCCTCGATCTGGGGCTCCACGCAAGATCTCACCCCGTGGGGTCAAAATGAGAAACAAGAACGGTGAGCAAAAATCCCAGAACCACACGGGGGGACCTAGTCAATGACCTGCAGAGAGCTGGGACCAAAGTAACAAAGGCTACCATCAGTAACACACTACGCCGCCAGGGACTCAAATCCTGCAGTGCCAGTGTCCCTGCTTAAGCCAGTACATGTCCAGGCCCGTCTGAAGTTTGCTAGAGAGCATTTAGATGATCCAGAAGAGGATTGGGAGAATGTCATATGGTCAGATGAAACCAAAACAGAACTTTTTGGTAAAAACTCAGATAGACGTGTTTGGAGGAGAAAGAATGCTGAGTTGCATCCAAAGAACACCATACCTACTGTGAAACATGGGGGTGGAAACATCATGCTTTGGGGCTGTTTGTCTGCAAAGGGACCAGGACGACTGATCCGTGTAAAGGAAAGAATGAATGGGGCCATGTATCGTGAGATTTTGAGTGACAACCTCCTTCCATCAGCAAGGGCATTGAAAATGAAACGTGGCTGGGTCTTTCAGCATGACAATGATCCCAAACACACCGCCCGGGCAACGAAGGAGTGGCTTCTTAAGAAGCATTTCAAGGTCCTGGAGTGGCCTAGCCAGTCTCCAGATCTCAACCCCATAGAAAATCTTTGGAGGGAGTTGAAAGTCTGTGTTGCCCAGCGACAGCCCCAAAACATCACTGCTCTAGAGGAGATCTGCATGGAGGAATGGGCCAAAATACCAGCAACAGTGTGTGAAAACCTTGTGAAGACTTACAGAAAACGTTTGACCTCTGTCATTGCCAACAAAGGGTATATAACAAAGTATTGAGATGAACTTTTGCTATTGACCAAATACTTATTTTCCACCATAATTTGCAAATAAATTCTTTAAAAATCAGACTCTCATAGTTGAGGTATACCTAGGATGAAAATGACAGGCCTCTCTCATATTTTTAAGTGGGAGAACTTGCACAATTGGTGGCTGACTAAATACTTTTTTGCCCCACTGTATATATATATATATATACCCTGACTTTTCTTTGGGCATACTGTACACTATGCACTGTGACATCTTTTTGACTTAGAAAGCAATGGCATTTTTGATATATTTAATGATATTTTAGACATAGACCTAACATGACTATACCCTTTTTTCATATTTTAGAAATACTATACTTAGTATTTTTTTCTGAACATTTCTATATACTATAATACGTTGTTTCTTTTGCACATTTCACACAAACTGTGCTATTTACTTTGGGAATATTTTCTACATAATAGGTCGTTTTTTTTGCATATTTTCTACATACTATACTACGTTGGTTTTTGTTATGATATATGCAATAGCACATCATAAATGTTTGATAAGTGCTGGAAAAAGGGCTACAGGTATGTCACTTTGAAGTGTAATATGACCGACTGTTTTCCCTTCAATGCATCAGGAGCGCATGCAGCAGATCATGACGCAGTGTTTCCTAGCAGTCAAATCCAAACTAGACTGCAGACTGGGCTTCTTTGACTTAATTGGATGCGACTTTATGGTTGATGAGGACTTCAAGGTGGGTGAGACTTTGCTGAATAGCTGAGAAGTGTTAATCTGCATGGTTTTGGACATGTTGTGTCTCTGTATGATTATGATAGGTGTGGCTGTTGGAGATGAACTGTAACCCAGCTCTCCACACCAACTGTGAAGTGCTGAAGGAGGTGATACCGAGCACCGTGAAGGAGACACTGGGTGAGCCCACATGATTACCAAAAAACTAAATTGAACACTACACCCAAATGTCAAAAACCTCTCATAATCTCACTGCATGTACGGCAAAGTACAGTTCCCTTTATCACAAATGTAACTCTACTCATGTGAGACACCACCCAACATTTGTATTGACCTGCTGTCACTTCTTCGCGCTCTAGATTTAACTCTGGAGATCTTCAACAAGTGTCGCCTCAAGCAGAGAATTCTTCCTCTGGCCAGTCAGAGGGACTTTGTGCTGCTTTACAACAAAGTGGCTCCTCCTGATTCACTGCTGGGCTGCAGCAAGAGCAACACACATACTGAGATCCTTCAAAAGAGCTCCAAAAAGACTGAACCCAGAAGATATAAGTCAGGGACTGAAGACAAAACGGTCCCCTCTCCATCCCCTAATGATGTCTCTGGCAGTGTTCAAGGACGGGGGGGGACAAAGTCTGGCCAGCGCTCCTCCACCTCGGTTCAGGGACCTCCACATGTACACAGCAGGCAGACTGTTAAGTATAAGAACCCCAGGCCTCGGGTCGAATTAAAGCCGAGTAAATGTACTTTGGATGACGGGGAGCATCAGCAGCAGAAGAGGATCATCATGACGCTGTCGTCACCAGGAACCTCTGTCCGTGGATCACCATTCCCTCCTGATGCTGGATCTCCTGTGAGTGGGAACAAACAGGAAAAAAAGCCCAGAGAGGATATTTAAGTTTATGCGAGTAAAGAGGAACTGTGATGCATCATGTGCAAATAGCTGGGATCTAAAAGGCCACATCTAAAAAAAGGCTTGAAAAAAGGAGGATCCACACTTCTGGTGCTGTTTGTCTGTGAGAAATAAACGCTGAAATGTATTAATGCTAAGGAGGTTCTTGTTATTGTTGCTTTGTGTATTATTTCATGATAAGCACCTTAAATTCCAATTTAAGAACAGGTTTGTCTTCTAATTAAGGTAGAAGAAAAAGTTGTTTTTATGCTGCTGCAACGCAAACATTTCCCAAATTGGGATCAATAAAGCACTTCGTATCTTCTTATCTTATTGTTTACGGTCATCAAAGCACAACATATATCCAGTGGTCACAGAAACAGCTCCTGTGGAAGACACTCAGACATTATTGTGTACTAACCCCCCACTGTCTTACTGTAACTCTAACCAGTGAGATCAACACAGGACTCCACCGTTTTTGTTTTGACTGCAGCGCTTCACCTCTCTGTTTCATAACTCATAATTATATTTTGCACTCCTATTCATATTCAGGCTCCCTGCATGTAAACACAGGCAGGACCGGTCCCATCTTTCCCAACAGGCTTGCTACATCCACATGCTGAGGCTGGGAGCTTTAGATGACAATACAACTCGTTTTTGTTTGTAATGCTGAAGTGTAGGCAGGTTGAAAAAAAGGGAGGAAGCTGCTCAGTCCTCAGACAGACAGGAAGGAAGGAAGGAACAGCTACTACGCTGCAACGCAACAAAACACTTTAAAAAGCTTAGACACCTTTTGGTTCTCTATGGACATGAACTACATGCTGGCAAAAAGGGGGAACTAGAGCTTAGCAGCACCACCCCC